GCTGCCTGCCGGAGCTGGCCGGCCCCGGGCGACGTGGCGGCCGCCCTGCCTCCGATGAGTCACCCCCTGGCTCCGACTCCCTCTAGAAAGTTCCACCCGAGCGGGGGCCCAGCTCCGAGTCCTCCACTCTCAGGCTGGTGGGGCGGCTCCGCCCTCTCCCGGGGCTCCCCTGGGAAGAGGGGCGCCATTCCATCCCCCAGGGCTCCTGTGTCGGCCTGATGCAGCCTCTGGACGCCTAAACGGGGGACCAGAATGAGGGAAGGGCGGGTTCAGAATTTCAGTTAGGGGGTCGCAGGTACCTTGGTGGGCAGGATATGGGGGCCGGAGTGTGCTGACGGAGGGGCCAGCGGGAGGCCCCCTCGTGGGCAGGGAGGCCCGAGACCATGGACAAGTGGACGATGGACAGGGTGACCTCTCCCACAGAGCCCGGGTGACTCGGGAGGGCATCGGGCGCATCTGGCCTTAGTCTTCAGCTTTTACGAAATTTTGGGGGGGTCACGGCAGCGGTCACTTGTGAGGATCTTCCTGCTTGGGGCTTTGGGGTTCATCGTGGCCTGGTGGTGACGGGCCGTCGTGGAACTCGGGGTCGGGGCAGAGGCTGCGGCAGGGCCCTGCCTGAGGCGGCCCCAGGGAGAGGCCCCGCCTGGGGGCCCACACCGCCGCGTTGTTTCTGGAGAGGCTGAGTGCACAGGCCCAGCTGGACCTGCTGGACCGCTGGTCTGAGCCCTGGGGGCCAGGACCGCCCTCTCCCACAAAGGCAGGGGTGCCCCCCTGACTGCTGCCCCCTCCCCTGAGCTTGGGCGAGCTGGGTGCCCTGGCCTGCCCTTGAGGGGCGCACTGCCCCGGTGCCCACTCCAGACACGGAAGCGGGGTCAGCAGGGCCAGCCGCTACCCCAGCACAGGCCTCGTGTGGAGCGGCCAGGGAGGCTTCACGCATGGTGTCAGGGCTGCAGCCTCCCCACCGCTACCCCCGGACCCCACTCTAGCTCTGGGTCCTGTGCTCCCCACCACCCCGTTCTGGTGCTTGTCTGACCCCTTCTAGCCCTACCCTGTGTCACCCCACCTTCTGCTCCACCCCGCCCCTTGCTCCAGTCCCGCCCCTTGCCCCGCCCCGCCCCACTCTAGCCCCTCCCCTTGCGCCGGCCCCGCCCCTTGTTCCAGCCCCACCCCGCTCTGGCACCGCCCCTTGTGCCGGCCCCACCCCACTCTAGCCCCGCCCCTTGCGCCGGCCCCGCCCCCTTGTGCCGGCCCCGCCTCTTGTTCCAGCCCCACCCCGCTCTGGCACCGCCCTGTGCTGGCCCCCAGGTGCTGCCCATCATCGTCTTCTTCAGCTGTGTCATGTCGGTTCTCTACTACGTGGGCCTCATGCAGTGGGTGATCCTAAAGGTGAGTTCCCAAGCCCAGACTCCCCCAGGACCCCGCTCAGGCCCACCCCCTTCCAGATGGCCTTCGGGCCCTGCTGTCAAGACCCCCAGAGCAGTAGCCCCGACGGCCAGTGTGGCCTACGGGGTGGGAGCTTCGCTGAGCCGAGTGGCCTGAGCAAGCAGCTCACAGGAAGAAGGCCGGGGCCCGGAGCGGCCCACGCTGGCAGACGCCGCGGTGGAGATGCCTGGTCCTGGCTTGACGTCCGCCGCACCGCCGGGCTGGACGCGGTGCTGGACTGCGAGGGCCACGGCTCAGCACTGGGGGCCCAGAGCTGGCTGCCGGCTCCGTGGCGGGGCCGCTGAGGCCACGGCGGTGGCCTGAGCGGCGTGACCGGCCTCCACGGAAGGGCCGCGGGCTGGGGTGGAGGCAGCCAGCTGTGTCCACCGCGGCCAGGAGGGTGGGCCAGGCGCGGGCGCCGCCAGCAGGGGGCTCCAGGGCCGACTGGAGCGGGGAAGAACGGCCCTCGGCTCGGGGCTCCCCGCCTTTCCACGGGGCTCCTGGCCTTCACCAGGCAGGTGGGGGGGCCGAGGCAGCTCGGGCGGCCAGGGAGGCCCCGGCTAGCGGGCGAGTGTGCCGCTCATGTCCGCGCTGGACCGTGACTCAGTGGCCACCCACTCTCCGTGGGAAGGAGAGCACGTCGGAGCTCTGCTCTGCGGCCTCAGCCTTGGCAGGCGGCCCGGCTGGTGGGCGGCGGGAGGGCAGCTGAGTGGACCTGGGAGGTGCAGGGGCCCCCTGGGGTCAGGCCCAGAGGAAGCGGGCAAGCCTCTGCCCTTCCTCCCTGACGGGAGCCGTGCACCCCGCTTCCTGCCCTCCCCAAGGGCGCCGTGCACCCCACTTCCTGCCCTGCCCCCTAACGGCCGTCCGTGCACCCCGCTTCCCGCAGATCGCCTGGCTGATGCAGGTCACCATGGGCACCACAGCCACCGAGACGCTGAGTGTGGCAGGGAACATCTTCGTGAGCCAGGTGGGGCTGCCAGGAGGGGCCCGGCCCGGTGCACTGGCAGAGTCGGGGGGCCCTCCCAGAGAGGCCGAGGTGGCCGAGGGACGCTCCATCTGGGGTGGCGCGACTGTCCACGTGAGAGCCACAGGCACTGC